TTCGGGGTTCCGTAGCGGGGTTGGGAGTCACTGGCGGCGGGAGCGCGGGTGTGTGCGGGGGGGCGGTGCGGGGCCTGGGGCGGGAGTGGGGCTCGGTGCGAGCGGTGACCGTGAGCTGCAGGGCGGTGCGCGGCGATGCGGTGCGCGGCGTGGAGAGCGGTGAGTTAGGACTATACTTTCAGGGATCATTTCTGTAGTTGGTAACTAGAGGAGTGTGATCGAAAGTGTCCGGCGTCACAAACCACGAGGAGGAGCAGCGTGTTCTCTCCTGAGCGTGAAGCGGGCGTGCGGTGCTGCTTGTGCAGGAGCCGCTCGTCATTGATGACCGTTCCCGTCCCACGTGTTGGGTCTGGGAGGGAGAGAACACAGGCTGAGTGGTTTGTGCCTTATTGGAAGTTTGAAAAGCAGCTTTTAAACTTATTTCTGAGGGTGTTATTGTTATAGCTGTATTGATTTATTCTGCTACGTAATCATAACAAATCCATTAAAGGTGGCAGAACACTCTTCTTTCTGTATTTTCCTCTAGAAGAATTCACTTCTTTTAATCAGTGGAGCGTTGTGCTGTTAATTGTGCAAACCTGTGCTGTTGCTTTGCTTCTGTCATTTGTACTTGATTCGTATAGAAACACTGCGTCAGCCACGGGTGGTGTGTATAGAAAGTTACAAGGAAGATTGCTTATACCATCTTAGCTTTCCAATCTATATCGTTACATTTCTTATTCCCGGTATCTCAGCAGGAACGTGGCAGTCACCTTCCCTTCCCTTTTCTTTCTTTTAGGAGAGAAAAACACTCCCAGTCATCTCTGATTTCCTTGCAGGTACTTTTGTTGATGCTGTAAATTCCATGGGCCAGACCTCTCTTTTCACTGCTGCATTGTTAGGCCTTGGTAGAATAGTGGATGTGCTGTTGGATTATGGCTCAGACCCTAACCAGTTAAGTGCACAAATATTTCTTTCTATTTAAATTGAAACTAGTAGTTAATGTGTTAGAGTTTTCAGTCTATGTTATGCAAAGCTCCTCAAAGGTAAGCAGGTGCTTAATTTTCCTTGTGTCATGGTACACTTACTGCTTTGCTATACATGAACACTACAGGTATGCAGCTTTTTTTCCTCAGGCTCAGCTGTTTGGTTGTGGTAGGGGTTGGCTGTAACATTTCTGCTTTAATGCTCCCCAGTCGCTGTTATGATGGAAGCACTCCGGTCCATGCAGCAGCTTTCTCAGGAAATCAGTGGGTTCTTAGCAAGTTACTGGATGAAGGAGGTGATCTGAGAGTGCACGATGAAAATGGGAAAAATCCACAGTACTGGGCTATGTCAGCTGGAAAAGAAAGCAGTGCTCAGGTAGGTGTTTGTTGAAGTGTATATACATTGAGTATGTGCTGGGTATGGTTCACATCTTAAAGTGGAGAAATCCAGTAACTTTTTTTTTTTAAATTTTCATAACAGCATTTTGAAGTCCTAATGATTGAGATTAAAGTCAGGTTTTGCTGAGGCCCTGTCTGTGCCTGTAACTTGTTAGGACCATCACATGTACTTGTAAGAGAGGAGAATGACAGCTCCTTGTTTTTGAAGTTCTGAAGTAACCTTTTCCCTTCCCTTCCCCCACCCAGATGCTGGAATTCATACAGCGTTGTACATTCCACATGCAGGCTGCCATTCAGAATTTTCCCTGTGATCCACTGAGGAAGATTTGCTCATCAAAAGCACTGATTTCCAGTCCATCCAGGTTTGGTGGCCTTGTTCAAGGGTAAGAAAATATTCTCATGCATCGAGGAATTGACTTTCTTGGATTCTTACCTCCATGTTATCTTAAAAGGAGCTTATTTCTTGACCTCGTTGGCCACTGTAAATCTTTTAGAGGTGTGTTTCCAACCACTCATGAGCTTTTATGTCAGATATTAGGAAAAATGCATACTTGTGAAGAAAACGTGGTGCAGGGTGTCTATATGTATGCATTACTGGCCACCTTGCTTTAAACAAATGCCTCTCATAACAGTCTGTGTTTTTTTTTTAGGGTTTTAATTACTTGCACAATAGTTTGGGATTTCAGCCTTTTCATTACACTTGCTGTGTAATGCATGCACCAGGCATGATGTTTGAAATCCATGACTGCTGCCTTGTTTCTGTGCCCTATCTTTGCCTTGGCATATTAGTTACTCCTCTTGTTTATATGTTTTTGTTGCTTAGAAATGCTGACAGTCCTCTGGGTAGATTTCTGAAAGGTGGAGTTAATGCAGCCAAGAACATCTATAGCTTTGGTTTTGGGAAGGTAAGATGCTATGGATAATGTTTTTCTAATGTTATTAGTACAGTTTTCCTATTTTTTTTTTTTTTTTTTTAGTTGTGTGTTCTTCACAAGAATGCCCTTTGGGGAAAAAGCTGTGGAAATCCCAGCTATTCAGACCTCTATTAATGAGCCCTACTGGAGGAGGCTGATTTAGAAGAAACAATAAAACCTTTGCCGTGACTGTTTCTGCTTTCCTAATTTCAACTTCACCAGAAAGTTAAGCTTTTCACTAGATACCTTAAGATTTTATTGCAGTGCTTTGGCTAACGTTCCCATTGCAGCGATTGCTTCAAAGTTTTTGCTGAGATTTGGCAGATGTGATACCTCTGGAATTCTTGCACGTTCCTTTTGGTTTATGTGCTGGTGTTGTTTCAGTTCTATCTTGCAGGCAGTGGGCATCTGGGCTATTTGGCATCTCTCCCTATTATTGGGGAAAAAGAAGTGGTTCAGGCAGATGATGAACCGACGTTTTCTTACCGTGTTGGGCCATGCATGACCATGACAAAGTGAGTGGCATCAAAGGGACTTCAGTCCCTCTTCATGTGCAGCTGTTGCTATAAAGTAGCAAATTGTCAAACAGGTGCTTTGTTCGGATTGGTTTTGTTGTGTGTTCTATACTCTTCCAGTACTTCCTGTCACAACTTTATTTTGCAGTCTGGTTGTCTATAGACTCCTTTGGTTGCTTTTGTCCCTTCCAGCACATAGGTGGTTATTCACTGATACAGTAATAGCAATAAAACACTGATGTGTTATTGTCTGGATGATCAAAATAAGGGTGTTGTTACTAACATC